TGACTGGGCACGACGTTTAAGAAAAGAGAGAAGACTTTTGAGCTTGTGGTGTAAAATGAGGCACATATATTTTGTATGGCTATAAATCATTGAATAAAGGTAAATTGTTTCCAAATAAGGCAAGGAGTTTCTTTTTGGCACGGACTAAAAAGGAAATAGGTTCACATAAATTGAAACGGAGGGAGTAATAAATAATATCTTAAAATCTACTATTAAATATTAACAGAATTAATTATCCCATATTGAATGTATCTAAAGACTATTCGTTTATCTAAAATTAACCTTTTGCAGTTTCAGAATTCTAAGTTTGGCATTTCAAATTTCTAGAAGATTTTAGATGTCTTATAGTACATCAATTTTAATAAGGAGACATATATTCAACAAATTAAAAACATTTTTTAAAGACAACATGTGAAATTACTGTAGATTCAAAGATATTGTCGAAACATTAGAACAACTTTTTTGCCTTTAAAATTCAAATGACTATTCTGCATTTAAGTACAAAAATATAATTTCAAATGTTTGATGTTGGATTTCAAAAACTAACTTGGAGTGGTAGGAAATTTTTTAGTTCATTCAACATTAATTGTACGTTTAATATGGCAATTAGTAGTTTCACCTTTATTACAATAATCTACGGGGGGCCTGAAGGGCTAGAAGTTACCTTTGGAAAAGAAAGAGACCAAAAGCCAAAGTATTGTTTGGATCAATTTTTGTGACTTTATAATCTCATTTCATGATAGTTCATTCGTTCCCATGAGTTTTGAATGGTATTCAGAGCCATGGTTCGTTTCATGAAGGCAACATTAGGAGCACGAGCTTAACAAAAGGTAATGAAATCTCTTTGGATACAGAATGTAGCTTTTGGTTCTTGTACATTTTGGAATCATGATAATGAAAAAAAGATAATTCAATACTTATGTTTGATGTTTGTTGGACTTCCAATGGGTTATTGTTTTTCGATAAAATCATAAAAATATTCATGTGATGAGATCTCATGTATTCAATTTGTGTAATAGCAAAGTTACAGAATGTAGCTTTTGGTTCTTGTACATTTTGGAATCATGATAATGAAAAAAAGATAATTCAATACTTATGTTTGATGTTTGTTGGACTTCCAATGGGTTATTGTTTTTCGATAAAATCATAAAAATATTCATGTGATGAGATCTCATGTATTCAATTTGTGTAATAGCAAAGTTACAGAATGTAGCTTTTGGTTCTTGTACATTTTGGAAGCATGATAATGAAAAAAAGATAATTCAATACTTATGTTTGATGTTTGTTGGACTTCCAATGGGTTATTGTTTTTCGATAAAATCATAAAAATATTCATATGATGAGATCTCATGTATTCAATAGCTTATAGCTTTTGTTTGGTTTTTCACAAAATAGCAACATTTGATGTATTGTTGTTTCACATAATATCTTCGTCATTTCCTCTTACTTTTATGATATTACCAAATTATTGAATTGTTTGTTATTTATTTTCATTTTTTACTTTAATTACCATATCAAGATATTGTTCTCTGAGTTAATTATCATTTCTTTAATAAATTAATTAATTTGCTAATATGTGACAGTCACTTTCTTAATAATCAAAATTATTTTGCACAAAAAAACCAAATAAATCCTTAACAACAAGAATGTTAAGTTATTAAATTTACACAAATTTCATATCCATTTTTTTGGATTTTCTGGAAAAGATATGGTCATGTTTCTTTTTTTCTTTTCTTTTAGGATGTTACATATATTTCAATCTTTGCCTTTTCTAATTATTTTCTCAAAGAAGAATATAGGTCATATATTTGGAGTGAGGAATTATTGTAAACAATGTCAAGAGGAATCAACAGTTTGTGCTATTGGCTTCTAAAGAAAATACATAACTCAGACTATAAGAATTTAAGGGAATCTGCCGGTCATCAAAAAAAACAATTGTGATTGAGTTAGCTAAATAGGATCAATATTCATTATTTGTAAAAACTTTCACTTTTCATTTAACGACTTCAATTTTACAATTGAAAATATTTTTGATAACATTTTATGCAACATTAAATTTTGGTACTCGTGGATATGAGATACACGCGCGATGCGCGTGTCGAGAAACTAGTTGGGTAATAATAAGGAGACCATATAATTTTATAACAATGATTGAATATAAAATTGTATAATAAAATAAGTAGTGAATTGCATGAGAAATTACTGTTTCTAAACTGTTGGGTATATATCCGAAGCTACTATTTTGACAATCCTCCACGGCTGAAAGTGTAGTGTCTGATATTTATTTGGGTACATATATTTTTATTAATTAGACAGAGGGTTGACTTTGATTTTGACTTGTCCTAAAATTATGAAAATTATTCACCTAAACTAGTTAGGACGTGCTATTCAATATTTTGGATAGATTGAGGCCATTGGAGGCCGATTGATTGGTGTTCTAGATGTTGCAAAGCTGGGGAACGTCCCGTTAGCAAGGTAAGTAAGACTTTAAGCTTTGATGCTTGCTTTTCAAACCTATTTTGAAAGTATGTTTTGTCTGTCTGGTTCATGTGTTGGGACGAACGTGTGCTTGGCAGAATCAGTGGTCTTTGACTAGCAGCAAATATATATTATTTTGTGAAAAAGGTGAAATTATTTAATACTTAAGTGATTTGTGGTATGGCGTAGCCTCGTGCTATGGTGTTGGTGCGTTAGAAATTATTTATTCGCTGCCGTAATATATTTGGGGCATTGTGTATGCTGTCGTGTACTCGTTGGGGGTGATTGGTTAATCTCCTTCACTCCGTTATGACCAATTCTTAGTATAGATTGTGTTGGATATAGTGTTGTTGAATAATTGTTTGGATCTTATGGAGTCATTATATGGTGAAAGAATTTCTGTGCATATTATTTTTGTGCTCGTTGTGTGTTTGTATTTTCTAATACTTGTTCCAGGAGTATTTAAAGTGGCGGGTCGAGGATCTTACTGGGTTATATTTATGTATAACTCACTCCTTACATGCATGTCCATGCAGATACTATTGCTGAGGACGGGACTAGTGGATGAAGAGTACGTGAGCGGATTCTATTGCTGAGGTGAGCCGTCACATTGTTCGTGGAGGCCATTTTTCAGCTTTGCCTATTTTCATGACTTTTTTTCCTTATCTTTTGGGGTTTACGCGTCCGGCAATCAAACTCATATAACTCTATTAGATGTTCCATGGTCTTAGTATGGAATTTGGGTTAGAAATTTATTACTTAAGTGTTCATTAAATTTTATAAATAGATTATAATTTTAGTTGGATAATTATTTCTTATTTAGATTTTTTTTTGCATTTGGATTTGTATGTGTTTCTCTCAATGCTTATATAAAAGGTTAAAAGTACATGAATTGGTTCGCCTGGCCGGTGGTGTTAGCTGGGTGTAAGTCACGTCTAGGGGATAGTTTGGGACGTGACAAAGTTGGTATCAGAACTTAGGCTTTAAGTCCCGGATCATAGAGCAGTGTTTAGTAGAGTCTTGTTCATGCGTATGTAGGCGTCCATACTTTTGATTTTGAGGCTAATAAACATTTAGGATGTTTTCCCTTCTTTCATTCCTTAATCGTGCGTTGAGATGACTCGAGATTGACTTTGAAATATTTCTTTCGCAGATGGCTAGGAAAAGCGCATCCTCCTCTGTTGGTCGATCAAATGCATCTGCTGGTACTTATTTTATTATACAATTTACATACATTCATTATTATACAATTATATGGTCTCCTTATTATTACCCAATCATTGGGTAATTACTAATTATTAAGTATCCTAAATTAAAAATAGAAGAGACCGAATTGTATAAGCAAAAACTTTCTTTCCATCCAGATTGTTTCTTCTTAGAATTCTATATATTTTTGTCTAACCATTAACTAACTAATCATTGCATAATTGTTGTGCTACTACTATTTTACTTTCTAATCGTTACAATATAATTGGTTACTTAATATAAATCTTATTCTTCTTGTGCAAAGAGATTGCAGCAAATATGTATTGAATGGAACTTTAAAACGTGAAGCCGAATGTCTATGGTGCCAACTCCTTTACGCAGCCACCAACTTCCGAGAAATCCTCTTTCAGTTGATCTTATTGCTATTATTTTTCTTTTCCCTATAAAATATAAGCTCTAGTATACCTAACTCCTACGAAAAATCTAACAATAGGATATTAAGAAGGGTGGGTTTGACCTAGTTATTAACCTTTTAAATAATAACCAAAGTCACTTACTTCTAATTCTCAGTTTATAATGCGTAGTTAGCCCCCTAGTCATTTATTTAATATACTATCTTATATATTATAGTAATTTCTCTTCTGCTAGCTTAGGCCCATTAACTATATTAAAAAAAGATCAATTCTTCAATCCCACAATTAATAAATATATCAAAATATTTCGGGTTATTACCTTCTCCCGCACTAAAAAGAATATTCGTCCTCAAATGTTAAGCGAGCTATCCCCTAGAAAGAGAGGTGTGAATACTTCGTCGTTACACTCGTCTATCTTCATATTTACACTACATACGCCTCTTGTAACTCTTTTGGAAACTTAGTAACAACTACAATTATCCCAAGAGTCAGAATCTCTACTCTAGTGTCTTAAATCATAATTAGATACGCTTATATTCATCTTATGTAGAACCTTCGTATAAGGAACTTACTCGCCTATGGCAATCGTGAATACCCTTCCATGTTATTCTAAGACCATAAGAAACAACAAATCTAATATCCTTTACCTGATAATTATGCATCAAATCGCACGACACCAATCATCCATGCACATAATAACATTAAAGTCGGACATCGGCAACACTAGTAGAGCGACTACGGTGACCCTTCCTTGAACAAATAGTACACCATCTCTATATACTCTATCCACAAATATAGTATCCTCACTAGGATCGTCACCACATTAAGAGACTCGACTTCCCGTTCTAAATTTAAAGCTAAAGATAAGGACACATACGAATATCATATGGACAGTAATAATACCTGTGACTACCACATTAGATGCCTCAGCGTCCTGTCTGTTCATTGCAAAGAATCTCGGCGGTCCACCCACCCCCTGAGCACCTTGTCTATTATGTCCACGGGCACCCTATGGAGCGGCTCTAGCTGATTAAGTCTAAGAAACTATAACAGTTCCTTATGGCTGTATAGTAGCCACACTAGTATTAGAATTACCCTTCGGATAATATTTAGCGATAAGCCTTATTTCACCACAAGTAAAATAAGCAGCAATACAAAAGCAACGACCATTGTGGTTCCTACCACATGTATAACAGCTTGGAAACAGTCCGAACTGAAACAAACCGTTATCATTCTCCTGCGTCTGTTGCTGACCTTGTCTCACCGGAAACGTACTCCCAAAGGACTATAGCACAGACTCTGATTGAGTAAGCCTAAATTGCCCACGATTATAACCACTCTTGGCCCCAGATGGAGCACCACTAAACTCGTACTACAGGCCTTTTTTTTTCTCGCTCGACCCTATCCCTCTTCTGTTAGGACTCATAACGGAGAGCAGTGTCAACTACCTCTCAATATGTGTCACCTCGCACATCCCTAACCACATGACCACGATAACAATGCTCAAGTCCATCCACAAACTATCTCACCTTCTCGTGCTCATCTGCAACCAAAAAGTGTGTGTACGTCGCTAACTCAGTAAACTTAACATCATACTCTGTAATTGTCATAGTACCCTGACACAGTCGCTCAAACTGACGTCTCGTTTGCTTAGTGGAACAAACATATCCATAAACATGGCTGAAAAATCTGATCAAGTGATTGGTGGTAACCCTGCCTGTCTACCTCTCTGAATCGAAGTCCACCATAATTCAGCATTCCCTGAAAATAGAAAAAATTGCAAACTCTACTCCACGAATCTCCTTCAGTCCCAATATAGTCAATATTTTTTCACAACGCTGAATGAACTTTTAAGGCTCAATAAAAGTTGGGGTAGCATCAAACTCTGGTGGCTTAAGATTCATGAAATTCTTTAGATCCTTGGACTGCCCTATAGCTGCAACTGGCTGAACAACCTATTGAGGGACCATCTCAAGTGCCTGAGGAGCTGCAACATTCAGATGAACTTGTATTTGTGTCTGTGAAGCAGTTTGAAAAACTGGAGGTCCACCATGAGGAGGAACTAATGCCTCTAGCATATTCAACAACCTCGCTACTGCATTTGCAGGTAGGGTAACAGTAGGCACAACAACTGGCATTGGTGGAGGTGGAGCGTCTGGAACCACCTGTTCTTGCACTTGCTCTAGCATAGCAGCTTGGGCTTGACCCATGTTCATAACTTCAGGCTGAGGAGCGCCCTGTGTCCTGGTTTGAAATCTAGTCTAGTGAACCCTAGTTTGACCACTACCATAGGTAGTATCAAATTGCACGAGAAATTAATGTTTCGAAACTTTTAGGTATATATCTGAAGCTACTATTTTGACAATTCTCCAAGGCTGAAAGTGACGTGTCGGATATTTATTGTGGTACATATATTTTCATTAATTAGACCGAGGGCTGACTTTGATTTTTGACTTGTCCTAAAATTATGAAAATTATTCTCCTAAACTAATTAGTACATGCTATTCAATATTTTGGATAGATTGAGGCCATTAGAGGCTATTTGATTGGTGTTCTAGACGTTGCAAGGTTGGGAACGTCTCGTTAGCGAGGTAAGTAAGACTTTAAACTTTTGATGCTTGCTTTTCAAACCCGTTTTGAAAGTATGTTTTGTTTGTCTGGTTCAAGTTTTGGGACGAGCGTGTGCTTGGCAGAATCGATGGTTTTTGACCAGCAACATATATATATTATTTGTGAAAAAGCTAAAATTATTTAATAAGTGATTTGTGGTATGGTGTAGCCTCGTGCTATGGCGTTGGGGCGTTAGAAATTATTTCTTCGTTGTCGTAATATATTTAGGGCATTTTGCATGCCACTGTGGTAGATTTGGGGAATTGTGTATGATGCCGTGGACTCGTTGGGGTGTTTGGTTAATCTTTTTCGCTGCCGTTTATGACAAGTCCTTAGTATAGATTGTATTGAGATATATAGTGTTGTTGTTGAATAATGGTTTGGACTTTATGGAGTAATTATATGATGAAAGAATTTATGTGCATATTATTTCTGTGTTCGTTGTGTGTTTGTATTTTCTAACACTTGTTCCAGGAGTATTTTAAAGTGGCGGGTCGAGGATCTTACTGGGTTATATTTACGTATAACTCACTCCTTATATGCATGTCCATGCAGATACTATTGCTGAGGACGAGACTAGTGGCTGAAGAGTGCGTGAGCAGATTCTATGCTGAGGTGAGCCGTCACATTGTTCGTGGAGGCCATTTTTCAGCTTTACCTATTTCATGTCTTTTTTTTCCTTATCTTTTGGGGTTTACATGTCCGACAATCAAACTCATATAACTCTATTAGATGCTCCATGGTCTTAGTATGGAATTTGGGGTAGAGATTTATTACTTGAGTGTTCATTAAATTTTATAAATAGATTATAATTTTAGTTGGATAATTATTTCGTATTTAGAATTATTTTTTTGGTTTGGACTTGTGCGTGTTTCTCTCAATGCTTATATAAAAGGTTAAAAGTACATGAATTAGTTTGCCTGGCGGGTGGTGTTAGCTGGGTGCCAGTCACGTCTAGGGGATAGTTTGAGACGTGACAAAGTTGGTATCAGAGCTTAGACTTTAAGTCTCGGGTCATGGAGCAGTATTTAGTAGAGTCTTGTTCATGGGTATGTAGGCGCCTATACTTATGATTTTGAGGCTACTAAACATTTAGGATGTTTTCCCCTCTTTCATTCCTTAATCGTGCGTTGAGATGACTCGAGATTGACTTTTAAATATTTCTTTCGCAGATGGCTAGGAAACGCGCATCCTCCTCTATTAGTCGATCAAATGCATTTGCTGGAAGTGATACTACCCGCGGTAGTGGTCAAACTAGGATTCACCAGACTAGATTTCAAACCAGGACACAGAGCGCTCCTCAGTCTGAAGTTGTGAACATGGGTCAAGCCCAAGCTGTTATGCCAGAGCAAGTGCAAGAACAAGTGGTTTCGGATGCTCCACCACCAGTGCCAGTTGTTGTGCCTATTGTTACCCCACCTGCAAACGTAGTGGCGAGGTTGTTTAAAGTGCTAGAGGCATTAGTGCCTACATAGGGTGGACTTCCAGTTTCTCAAACTGCTTCACAGACACAAATACAAGTTCATCTGAATGTTGCAGCTCCTCAGGCACCAAAGATGGTCCCTCAACAGGTTGTTCAGCAAGTTGCGGCTATAGGACAGTCCAAGGATCTTGAGCCACCGGAGTTTGATGCTACCCCGACTTCTATTGAGCCTCAAAAGTTCATTCGGCGTTGTGAAAAGATATTGACTACATTGGGATTAAAGGAGACTCGTGAAGTAGAGTGTGCCACTTTTCTATTTTCAGGGAATGCTGAGTCACGGTGGACTTCGATTCAGAGAGGTAGACAAGCAAGGTTACCACCATTTACTTGATCAGAGTTTTCAGCCATGTTTATGGATATGTTTGTTCCACTAAGCAAACGAGACGACATGAGATGTCAGTTTGAGAAACTGCGTCAGGGCACTATGACAGTTACAGAGTATGAGGCTAAATTTACTGAGTTAGCCACGTATGCACACTTTTTGGTTGCAGATGAGCACGATAAGGTGAGCCGGTTTGTGGATGGACTTGAACATTGTTATCATGGTCTTAGGGATGTGCGAGGTGGCACATATTCAAAGGTAGTTGACATTGTTCTCCGTTATGAGTCCTATCAGAAAAGGGACAGGGTCCAACGAGAAAACAAAAAGGCTCGTAGTATAGGCGAGTTTAGTGGTGCTCCATCTGGGGACAAGAGTGGTTATAATCATGGGCAATTTAGGCTTACTCAATTAGAGTCTGAGCTACAGTCCTCTGGGAGTACGTTTCCGGTAAGACAAGATCAACAACACACGCAGGAGAAGGATAACAGTTTGTTTCAATTCGGACAGTATCCGAGATGTTATACATGTGGTAGGAACCACAGTGGTCGTTGCTTTGGTATTGTGGGTGCTTGTTTTACTTGTGGTGAAAAAGGACATATGGCTAAATATTGTCCGAAGGGTAATTCTAGTACTAGTCAGGCTACAATACAGCCACAACGAACTGTTATAGTTACATAGACTCGGACTCAATCAGCTAAATGAAATTGCAACTGAACCAAATTACTGGAAACGTGGTACAGAAATATACTGACCAACAATAAGCCCCAACACATTTCCCAATGCCAACTCTTAACCAGTAACCATGTATCCTAAAAGGTTCTCAGCAATTAGAACTGTTATCAATCTTCATCATTCAATTTCTGCCATTTGCAGAGGTGGCCACCCTCAAAACTCATGTTGACCATGGATATCTATACATAAATAGAAGTCCTGGTTGTGATTATATCCTCCTCGACAAGCATATAAAGTTACTGTAACAACATTGCCACCTTTAACCTTTAAATAACCTTGGTGCACTAGGCAGTGGACAATTCTGCAGATTCCATCACCAAATATGACAACCAGAAAAGAGAGATAGAAGGCGGAACTGCGGAAGGTAACAACACAAGAGGAAAGAGTTGCATACACAAAATATCAAGGAGTTCTACTTTCTTTAACAACTCATAACTCTCAGATCAAACCATCAAATCAACAAAGACAAAAGCAACCGTATATTTCATAAGATATAAGTATAGGCTTCTTACTTGTGCATGCAGTACTTGTATTCTTGACTCCTTACAGTATCCTTTTCCCCTTCCTCCAACTAATTCAAAATACACCAATACACATATTCAGCATTATGAACATAGAGATACACATCTAAACAAGCCGGGAGAAGCATTACAAGTAAATTATTCTTACAGGATCACTCCGATAAACGCGCTCATAACAAACTGGTGACAAGCATTCTAGAGCACAATTCTCCTTGTCTACTGTTGTAGCCTTGCACTTCTGACCCCACAACCCACTATTTTCAAGACAAAAATAAATACAAAAAATGAGCCAAAAAATTCAACAACTCCTTCCATAAAGAAAATCATTTTTCTGGGTCCACCCCAATTACAAATAAGTTTTAAACCTTTTGGGTCTTAAACCCAATACACAAAATTTAACATATTTGTTGGTCATCCCTCTTTCAGGACTAAACTTTTAGTAGTAAGAATTAGCAATAAGTTCAACAGTTTCTTTCATTAAGAAAAAATCTATTTCTAGGTCCAATACCAATTAACAAAAAACTTTTATATTTGTTTGGGCCTTGAAACCCAGAACACAAATTCATCATATTTCGAGCCACAAGCTGGCCCGACACCAACATCATATAAATATTTTTTTCCCTGGGTCAATTATAAATTAAGAAAAGTTTTAATCAGATAGGTCTTAAAACAACTAAGGAACATTTAATATATATTTGTGGGATAAATTTCAACGTACCTTTCAATATCTGCATAACATTGGAGTTTCTTCTCTCTGATCTCTCCATCCTGTATTTGTATTCAAGAACAGCCAAAAAATATTAAAATAATGATAAAGCAACATCAATAACAAGAAAAAGATTTACAAAACCCAATACCCAAAAAAAAAAAAAAAACTTACAGAGATTGGGCGACGTTTAGCAAGAACTGCAGGAGAAGATAGTAAAAGTGCTGAAAAAATTAACAGTAGGATAAATTTTTGCTTATTGTCTATGTAAGCCATAGCCAATGTGAATAATTTGTCTTGCAAACTTGTCTTGTGATTTGTTTGTTTATTTGGTTACTGATTGCTCCACTACAGAATTGAGTTGGCATTAGAATTCGAAGTTTCTTGACAGATTGATTTTTTCCTTAATAAATATCAAATTGACCCAAATATTCTTGAGTAATGTCATTTTGTCCCTCCACATAATTGAAATCTTCAGACTCACCCCTTGGAGGAACTACTTTTTTTTTTTCGGAGAATTATAGTACCCATAAATAAAGAATTTAAAGAGTAGAAATTGGGGTTTTCTGTTGAAACTTAAGAGATAAATTTTGGGGCTTTGGACCTTGATTTGACGTCAGATTTTGATGTTTATCAGATATTTGGACTTGGGGAAGAATGGATTATCAAGATTTGGTCTCGATTTTGGATTTAGGATCTGCGAGTCCGAATTGACATTTTGAACTTTTTGGGATGAAGGTTGAAATAAATCCATCGCATATTCAAAAATAAAAATAAAACTAGACAAATAGGTGAATTTCATTGCATCGTATTCTACCTTTTATTCCATCGTTTCCTTTTTGTAATTTAGTTTAATGTGACACAATCATAAAGAGGAACAATCGAATATGTTAATTTCTTAGTGTACTTATTGTTGAGGAAACATGTAAGCTCAATTGGAGCCTTTTGTTTTTTTGAAATAGAAGAAAAGAAGAAGCCGTGTATTGAAAAAATATAGCGTGATAACGCATTTCTATGGATTTAATTCGAGGCCTTCCTAATTTTGGAGGTAAGTCTGCTACGTAGGTGGTAGTAAATAGAATGAGCTCTCTAGCTTAATTAAGACTTTGATTCTCAAGTAAAAAGACTTTAAAACAATGATGTTCCACTTAAGTCATTTTAGTGGAACAGTGTTATTTTGGTATATATGTCGTTATGTCATAGAGAATTCATTTGGATTGGAAATAGGAGAAGACCTGAAATTAAAAAAGAAATCAAGAAAATCGATTGAATCTTTAATTTTTTTGATTTATCACTTCGGTCCTTCAGTTTCAGTGGTTCGACTTTTTCGATTATCGAAAAATTGAAAAAATTTTAAAAATATTCTACATCTTATCCACTTTTTCATGTAAAGATAAAATGTGAACAAAAATATTCTTAAAATTCCGAAAAAATTCCAGCATAATATGTTGGAGTTCAAATTTTTTATATATGAGATTCCAGCATAATATGTTGGAATTTCATAATGTGCTAGAGTTCCAACATAATATGCTAGAAGTTTATACGTAGGAGTTCCATAATCCAACATATTATGCTGGAACTTTCTGTGATTCAGCTAGGGTTTTTTTGTCTGAATTTTATCTTCGCATAAAATAATGACTATTTTTAATGACTTTGTAAATGATGACTATTTTTCGATTATCAGTCCAAAAACTGGCTAAGCCATGCTATTTTTACCTTTTTTTTAATTGCCGAATTACTGAAATTTTTGAAAAAATATATAGGCCTCTTCGCTATCGTTCTTCCTTCTAGGCTCCGATACTCCAGCCCAAAATTAAATACCCAGCCTAATTTCCCAAATCCGTTAGTTTTAGTTAGCCATCTTTCTTCCTTACCATGAAAGGATTCATGATACTATTCATAAAGGAGTAGAATAATTATTCCAACCATAGAAGTTACATATACCGGAGAGGAAAACAGTGACTCAAGAAGGATCTCAACATTAGGAGCTTTCCATTGGATATGATACCGCCTAGGTAAATATTACGGTGATGCATGTATAGGCACAAATGAGCAGATGTTATCCATTTGAATCAAAAGGTTCTTAATTGGGAAATTGATTGAATTAGGGTTTAGAATTAGAAAGTGAGTTGATCGATACGTTTAAGAGATGAAAATGAGAAAGGCGATGTGGCAGCTTATTACACTTCATGAGTACACGTGTTGTAATAGTTAGTTGTATTAGACGTCTAAGATTAGAAGTTAGCTTAATCAATAAAGGGCTCAGATCAGTCCTCGGCTGAGTTAGTTAGTGGGTTGTTAGTTAGTTAGAGGGCTGCTACATATTGGGCCTTATATTCGAAAGAGATGGGAAGAGATGGTTATGCAAATTCTGGTAATTCATTTCCAATNCCTCTCTCTCTCTCTCTCTCTCTCTCTCTCTCTCTCTCTCTCTCTCTCTCTCTCTCTTCGTTATTCTCTTCTCTTCTCTCTCTTACCTTACTTCTTATTCTCTCAGATTATCCGCCATTAAAGCTCAAGCTTCAGTTGAAGGCACATTAGTTCCAATTGTAGTTTTCTGAGTTGTAATACATTTGACAATTATCAATAAAAGTTCGAATTCTATTTTTTTATTGTCAAAATTACATAAGAGTACTATATTTGGTATCAGAGCATCTCCCGGCCCCACAATTATGACTATTACAGAAACCCGATCGAAACCTATGTCTCAAGAAGTTAGAGACAGAGCTACAAAATCACATCACAGAAGAAAGTAAGAAATATGAGACTACATGTGCCAAAATCGATGAACTGGCGAGAAGGTTTGATGTGTTGATGGAAAAATTATTGCCCAATCGCACAAGTATACTGGGTAGTGCACTAATGGAGATACATCAAGAAGAGGAATAGGGAAGTGGCCTTAGAAGAGAAGAGGTCCATGTTGCTTTGGTCAATGATCGAAGTCACCATAGCAATCATGGCAGTTACAACTCCAGGGTAGAGTTTCCTTATTTTGATGGTGTTGTGAGAGCTGATCCTTGTTCTTGGCTGAGAAAGTGTGAGAGGTATTTTCATTATAACTATGTTTCCAATCCATAGCAAAAATTTGAAGAGGCAGTACTGCATCTCAATGGAAGAGAAGATGCCTGGTACTTCTCCTATCAGTTAAGCAAAGGGAATGTTAGATGGCCAGAGTTTTGTGAAAAAATTTGTAAGAGGTTCCAAGATGCAGACAACAGTAGATTCAATCTCATTGGTGAGTTTAAGAAGATAGAGCAGAAGGGAACAATCAATGAATACTTGGAGAAGTTTAAGGATCTAAAGGCTTGGGTTCTGATCATGAGTCCTACAATACCAGAGGAATTCTTTCTAGAATTATTTGTAGAAGGCCTTAAAGAGTATATAAGACATACAGTGAAGATGTTGAATCCCTATAACCTAAGCCAAGTTGTGGAAAAAGCTAGACATCAAGAAAGGATAATTGAAACTTGGAATAGGAAAAGGGAAGGATACTTGGGGTAAAGGAGTAACCTATGGCAGTTACCAACAGACAAACACTCACAAACCAACTATAGGTACCAAGGGAGCAGGGGCATCAAACTATACAACACAAGGGAACAAGGGTTTTGATAACAGGAGGAATAATGGGTTGTGCTGGAAATGTGGGGACAAGTATTTCTTTGGGCATGTGTGCAAGCAGAAACCGATTAATGATATGGCTGCTTCTGAACACCAAGCTATGATGAAGCCAATTGAAGAAGGAGACCTTGTAGAAGAAGGAAGCCCAGTAGATCAAGTAGAGGAGGAAGTAATAGATGAGGTCATCAGCCTCAATGCTCTCTCTGGGACTGAGGTCCAAACATAATTAAACTGAGAGGTAAGTCCAAGAGGAATTCAATAACTATCTTATTGGATTCAGGAAGCACCCACAGCTTCCTAGACATAGAGACTGCTAAGAAAATAGGGTGCAAGATTACAGAGTCTGCTCCTATGAGGATCACTGTAGCAAATGGTAATTACCTCATGAATAGGCATACGTGCCACAGGTTCAAATGGGTGATTCAAGGAGTGGAGTTTGAGGATTCTGTTAGACTAGTAAGCCGAGTAGGAAATGATATGATACTATTAGGGGATTGGATGAAAGGCCATAATCCAGTATTGCTAGTTTTGTTGGAGTACAAGGTTCAGGTCACCCACAAGGGAAAGAGAGTGGAGCTCAAGGGTATCTACAGCCAAGGGGAACTTAGGAGTATGTCAATCACTGGAGTCAAACACCTATTGAAGAAAGGACAAGCTATCTGGGCTTACCTATTTACTGTAACTGCAGTAGAAGTGGAAGAACATGAGTAGGTACTTGCAGTGATACAGCAGGTTCTGAAGTAGTTCCCTGATGTGTTTGAAGAGCCAACAAGCCTTCCTCCCAGGAGGAACCATGATCATTAAATTCCCATTAAACCCAACACCACACCAGTCAGCATAAGGCCTTACAGCTTTTTCAAAAAAATGATGGTTGAGAAATAAGTCAATGAGATGTTAGCAAAAGGAATAATACAGCCTAGTCATTCCCCCTTTTCTTCACCAGTACTACTAGTTAAGAAGAAAGATGGAAGTTGGAGGTTCTGTATTGACTATAGAGCCCTCAATAACATAACTTTTAAGGATAAATTTTTCATCCCACTGGTTGATGACTTAATGGATGAATTACATGGTTCTTGTATCTACTCTAAAATTGACTTATGGACGGGTTACCACCAAATTAGAATGGGGGAAGAGGATGTGTACAAAACAGCCTTTAGAACACATCTGGGGCACTATGAGTTCAAGGTTATGCCATTTTGCCTAACCAATGCCCCTACTACATTCCAGTCACTCATGAATAATGTGTTTAGAGATTATTTGAGAAAGTTTGTTCTGATTTTCTTTGACGATATATTATTCTACAGTGCCTCATTAAATGAACACAAACAACACCTTGAAAGAGTACTGGAAATACCGAGGGAGGAGCAGCTCTTTGCCAGACTATCTAAGTGCTCTTTTGGACAATCAAAGGTGGAATATTTGGGGCATATTATCACTTGGGAAGGTGTAGCTAAAGATCCCTCTAAAATAGAAGCAATGATTAATTGGCCTATTTCTAAATCCATCAAGGCTCTAAGGGAATTTTTGGGCCTAACAGGATATTACATAAGGTTTATACAATCTTATGGCATCATCAACAGATCCCTAACCAGTCTACTGAAAAAGAATGCCTTCCAATGGTCTGCAGAAACCAATACTGCCTTCCTGGCATTGAAACAGGCCATGTCTACTGCACCTATACTAGCCCTGTCAGACTTCACAAAGACTTTCATTGTGGAAACTGATGCTTGCTCTACAAGGATTGGGGGGTGTGCTAACGCAAGAAGGCAAACCCCTTGCATTCTTCATCAAGGCTTTGGGACCTTGACACATGGGCTTATCTACTTATGAAAAGGAGTACATGGTTGTTCTGTCAGCTGAAGATAAGTGGATACACTACCTACAAGGAGGACATTTTATTATTAGAACAGACCATCAAAGCTTAAAGTACCTACTAGAGTAAATGGTGACCACTACTTTCTAACGAAGAGGTCTAGCCAAGCTACTTGGTTTAGATTATGAAGTGCAGTACAAAAAAAAGGAACATAGAATAGGGGTGCAGATGCACTATCTAGAAGAAAGGAAGAAGAACCTTCTTTATGTGCCATTACTACTACTAATCCAACTTGGATGAAGGAGATTGCACATAGTTATGAACATGACCCTATGGCTCTACAAATGATAACTGAGTTGATCACCAGCCCTATTAACAAGCCAAATTTTCCCTACAGCAGGGCATCATCAGGTGTAAACAGAAAATTTGGGTGGGAAGAAAGGTTGATCTTAGAACAAAGATCTTTAAGGTATTCCATCAATCACCCTTGGGTGGTCACTCTAGTCAATAAGGGACTTACAGAAGATTTCAGGTGGTTTTTTATTGGCTAAAGATGAAGGAGGACATACATAAATGGGTAGCTGAATGTGATGTGTGTCAAAGGGTGAAGACTGAACATGTGCATTACCTAGGCCTATTACAACCCCTGCCCATCCCTGAAGGACCATGGGAAAATATAGCTATGGATTTCATTGAAGGCCTACTTCATTCTGGACACAAGAACTCTATTTTGGTGGTAGTAGACAAACTTACCAAATATGGGCATTTTATTCCTCTTAAGTACCCCTACACAGCTAAGAAAGTTGCAGATGTGTTCTTGAAGGAGATATATAAACTATTTGGGCTACCCAAGTCCATAGTAACAGACAGAGATTCCTTGTTCACTAGCAAATTCTAGCAACAGATGTGTAAGTCCACGGGAACTAAGCTCAACATGTCTACTTCTTATCACCCTCAGTCAGATAGTAAGACTGAGAGGCTTAACATGTGCCTAGAGTCATACCTCAAAGCCATGATTTTCTATTCCTAGACACTCGCTTAAGTGGCTTCCTTTAGCTGAGTGGTGGTACAACACTAACTACCACACATGCCTTAGGACCACTCCATTTGAGGCTGTTTATGGATACACCCC